AAATATTTTGTTTTTCTGTTGTATTTAAAAAAAGAACAACTTTTTACACCTTTAAACTACAACTGCACTGTGAGCCTCCGTCCTTTATTTAAGCTCAAAATATAGGATATTTCTTTAGATGTCTAAATAGCATCACTTTAATGTTGTTTTGCAAAATTCTTAACCCTTTTTTAATGGGCTGACCTATTCTGAATGTCAAGAGGAAACAGTAAAGTAGTGGAGTCCATAAAAGGGAATGCTCACTTTTCAGGGAATTGCACCATTGAATTATTGAAGTATCGATGATCACCTTTGACTTGCATTAACCTTTTCTTCATGAGATGCTTTTAATGATTTAGCTATTGAAATCACAATCCATTTCAATCCAGGTACGACCATGGTACACATCGCATTGGAGAAAAGGAAATAGGAGGAAGGATTGATCAAAGTATCATAGACAGTTTTGCATCTTTTTTGACTCATCTATTGGCATTTTTGTAAGTTTTTTTCATTGCAAATTATTAAATTAGTATTATTTTTTTTATCCATCTGTTGCTTGTTTTCTAGCGTAACACTCAAAATGTATGGAATTTTTGGCAATGCAATTTCAACTTTTCCTTAACTTAGTCCATCAGAAAGTATACTGTACCACTCCCCTCCCCTCTCCATCACCCCCCACTTGTTTTCGAATCTTTCATGCAATGGACGTTTGTACAAAACAAACAAAACTGCAGGATTTAAGCAAAGAAAAGCCAACACCAATCATGCCATTTTTAGAATGCTTTCATGAATGTCAACAGATTAAGCTTGAAGTACCACAAAGCTTCTATGTTATTCCAAACATCTGAGAGATCAATGTATTGAATGCACTTATAGTTGTTGATAGTGCAGTATAAACTGATCTATTAAGAATTGGCTACTGATCCTATTAAACAAATAGTTTGTGATTAAAAGCAGAGATATCTGCTTCTAGATCAATAGTAGTTGAATATCCATCCATCTTAGCCAACTTGTTAACCATTGGTGTAACGAATCAGGGTTCCCCTACATCCTGAGTAATAAACCAAACACCAGGTTTAGCTGCACTAAATTAATTTATTCGCCCCCAGGGTGTGGACCTCATAAAATTTAAATCCATTTGGGATGTGTCAAAGTTTTTTATTTTTTTATCTACTTTTTGCAATTTTATGGTGTTTCAACTTGCTTCATTAATTGTTTCATGTCTGTCGGTCTATCTATTTCCCTATCTATTTATATGTGAATGTTTTTGTATTTTTGAGTAAGTGTAATAGATATTGAAAGCTTAGTAGGACACAGGCAGCAGATGGAAGATGATATTTATCTGTAGTGTTGCTAAGATAGATCATTTTCCACAATGATAGCTTTCCGTCTCATCATCCAAGAAGTTAAGCATGTTAACACGGAACTCGTAAAGTCCGTAAGAGCATATACATCTATCAATGCCACCTTCTATACGGGTTAACAAAGGTGTTTTAGCTACAATTCCTATTTATAGATCTGATATATCTAACCGTCATATAGGAAATATGAATCATAAGAAATGTTCCGGTGATCGACATTTAAGAATATTGCTTATATTTTCCTATCTTCCATTTTATTAGCACCTGACACAGAGATCAACCTACAAATTGAGCTTTGCTGACAGGTAATTTAACTGATAAAAACAACTTCTGCAAATGGCAGAACATACAAGCCATAAATAACAAGAAGAAATGGCAGATCATAATGCAGTAAATTAGTAACCAAGGACAACAAGATTCTAAGCTCATGTACTATATTTATATGTGGGTTGACACTGTAGGGTATCATTTCTTGAGCAGTGTCCTTACCACCCTTTGTTAAGGTATGTTTGCCTTGTCTTGCTTTGACTAAGTGCTTGTTAGCCTACCTATTGCGCTTTATAAATGATAATGGTAATATCTTTTTTTGGGGTATATATATTCTCCAAACTCAGATCTAGCACACCAACTTGTGCAAGTCAGAAATGTTCATTTTGGTTCTTTAGTCGGAGTGCCAGTCCAATGCACAGATAAAGAGCCACAGCACCCAACAGGCCTCTCATTAGAAATGCCAAATGGACACCAAAGTTTTGGACCCTGGTGAGCCTTCATCGCTGATAGTTTGGCACAAGGCTAAGCAAGGAGATCTATTGATCTCCCTGCCAGCTCAAGGAGGGAGAACCCCATACTGCCTCAGCCCAGGCCTTAGACAACCACCTCTTTCACCAAATGAGTAATCCGGCTCTGGCCAATCATGTGGGTTATATCTCCTGTCCAATGAAAAGGTGGAAAATAAAAGTTAGGGGACTGGCAGTAAATGTTGATTTTATTCACAAATTAAGTGACAGATGGTCAATAGAGGGAAAACAAGGACAACCAGTAAAACAATCTGTACTTCCAAATATATTTTTTTCTAAATACTTTGACTACAGCTACCAATGGAGACAGACCAGCAGTGGTACTTTGTGTTTTACCCTTGCTGTGCCTGTGTGGAAGATACATGGGTCATTGATTCTAGTGTGAGACTAGATTTAGCTTGATGCTATATCTAGCTAGCTATTGCCAGGCGCACTTGCTACAACTTTGAGTGGGAGATAGTAGATTGCCATTTTGTCATTGTTCCCAGATATATACAGCTAAGTTTTTATTTTTGATAATAGTGTGGACAAAGATCCTATTTTATGCTTTTATTTCTGAGTGTGTTCAGTCCAGGGTTTCTTAGAGGATCACTATAGTGCCAGGAAAACATACTCGTTTTCCTGGCACTATAGTGCCCTGAGAGTGCCCCCACCCTCAGGGTCCCACTCCCGCCGGGCTGGATAGAGAGGAAGGGTTAAATCTTACCTTTTTTCCAGCACCGGGCGGGGAGCTCTCTTCCTCCTCTCCGCCTCCGATCCTCCCATTTGGCTGAATGCGTACGCACGGCAAGAGCTGCGCGCGCACTCAGCCGGTCTCATAGGAAAGCATTCATAATGGACGCTTGCGTGTTCTCACTGTGTCAATGAGACAGCCACTAGAGGATTTGGAGGATGGATTAACCCATTTATAAACATAGCAGTTTCTCTGAAACTGCTATGTTTATAAAAAAAATGGTTAATCCTAGAGGGACCAGGCACCCAGACCACTTCATTAAGCTGAAGTGGTCTGGGTGCCTAGAGTGGTCCTTTAACCTTGAACACAATAACATTACAGTTGTATATCCACCAATCACCAATGCATTTTTCAACACAACATCTATTTTTGCTGCATAGAGATGTGTTAGTTTGCAAAATACAATGTATTGTAATAAGAAAAACAAAACCACTATCGTCAATAATATGTGCTAACTCCAAAATTAAATTGAGGGATGGTAGGGTTAGGGGTTATGTTCACTAATCAGGCATCAGCTTTAGTGCGATTATTTCTGAGAGTTTGCAGACCTCTTCCTTGGCCATGCTTACTTCCTACACCTCTCCCACTGCTGCCTGTACCACCACTAGAGATGTCGCGAACCGTCCGTAAACTTCTCTCGAACGGTTCGCCACGAACTGTTCGCGGCGAACTCCGGTCAGCTGACACATCCCGGCCAATCTCCAGCAGACCCTCCCTCCCAGACCCTCCTACTTCCTGGACAGCATCCATGTTGAAGCTGCCTTTCGGTTCGCAACATCTCTAACCACCACCATTAACATTTCCATTAGCATTATTCAACCAAGGGTTAGTGCACAGGCTAGTGTTGTGATGGCTTTCACTGCCACCAATGCAAATCCAACTGCATCATTATTATCTATTTGTTAAAGAGTGGGTACTAATTATCATACCAACAGATAAAAAATTGTGATCGCTTTGAGTGCCTCAAGAAGGCCAAATTGAAAAGTACAGGTTGTGCAGAAAGGATGTGATTAATTGGCAAAGTGTAAAGGATCATCTCACTAGTGCTTGTGTTAAGCATCAGAAGACACCTCAAGTCTGTATTACAAAGGGAAGAAACAGAACAAAAAAGTATTAGGGCAGGCAGCAGGTCGATTGGTTCTGTATCAGATTCTGTGCAGTTATCACAACCTACCACCAGCATTACCTCCTCGACTACTGATATCACCACCACTCTTAGGCAGAGCGAGTGGTGGTGAGGATAGGGCCAGTAGTCCACAGCGGCAGGTTGGATAGGAACAGTGAACTCAGTGAAGACTGCATTTACCATCCTGCAGAAACACCCATCACTCTCAGGCCTCACTTCACAATCAACTCAGTGAAGACTGCATTTACCACCCTGCAGAAACACCCATCACTCTCAGGCCTCACTTCACAATCAACTCAGTGAAGACTGCATTTACCATCCTGCAGAAACACCCATCACTCTCAGGCCTCACTTCACAATCAACTCAGTGAAGACTGTATTTACCATCCTGCAGAAACACCCATCACTCTCAGGCCTCACTTCACAATCAACTCAGTGAAGACTGCATTTACCATCCTGCAGAAACACCCATCACTCTCAGGCCTCACTTCACAATCAACTCAGTGAAGACTGCATTTACCATCCTGCAGAAACACCCATCACTCTCAGGCCTCACTTCACAATCAACTCAGTGAAGACTGCATTTACCATCCTGCAGAAACACCCATCACTCTCAGGTACTGACTGATGCTTGGAAGATACTCCACCTCCCGTATTACTGGATTGCTACAAAATTCTCATGTGTTACTATAGAGTTGTTACAATTGATACCTGTAGTTTGCCACTGTAATGTTATGTGCATGCAGTGTGTACCACTGTCATTTAATGTTTGTGACCAATATTTCATGTAGACAGTTATTAATATTTTGGGTGATAGAATTTGATTGCTAAACTTTTCAATAGTCTATAACACGTGCCTACTCTGCCCCCCCCTTCCCTGCCGTAAATACCTTCATTAATTGTTCTATCTCTATTCCTCCTGCATTTTTTTCTCCCCACCCACCCTCGCTCCCCTTAAATATATAGCATGCTCCTCCAGCTGTTCGAGATTCTCACCCAATTAACTGTTCATTCCCCTAACATCTTACCAATAGCTGCTTCTCTGTTAACTCTTTCAGCCATCACCTCCAAACTTCCCCTGCTACCTTTTGTCTCAAATCCCCCTGGTATCCTTTAGATTGTAAGCTCAAGGGCCATCTAGCTAAGCACTTTGTATAAAAGAGCTCCAATGGCTAGATATCAGCTTACGGGCAGGGCTCTCTTACCTCTTGTATTTGTTTGTGTATATTGTACGTTTCTCAACTAATTGTACAGCACTGCGGAATCTGTGTGCGCTTTATAAATTGCAATAATAATAATAACAGTCACATCACCTCATCATCTGATGATTTGAAAGAAGAAGAAAAAAAATCTTGCCTAGCTGATTCTGCCAATTACACCCATTTTCATTTACTGTTTTAGAATTGTTTTACTCAATTTTTATTTTATTTTTATTTCTAGCTAGAGTCCGATTATTTGAGTTGCAGTGTGTTTCTGTGCCACTGTTTATGCTTTGGAAATCGAAAGCCTTTTTGGCAACTCAAAATAGTTTTTTGCAAAAATTCCTGCTGTTGCGTAATTAAATTTTTCAGTACTGAAATTTGACTGAGCTGAAAAAAAACGAATTATGATGAAGTGGTTCAGAAGAGTCATTTCCGTTCTCCTTGCACAACTGTAAATATGTATGCTTGAGAGGATGGATGAATGTGTAGACAGATGGATCGACAGACAGAGACAGGCAGAGTCAAGAGTGATGTGCTTTTATTTCCTATTGTGCATTAATATTTTTGCGCTTATTTGTTTTTGTTTTTTAAACTGTAAATACACCGTTTCAGTTATCTTTGTCTGCTCAAGTAAGTGCAGAATAGAAGGTCTTTAAGGCATTTTGTTGTTTTAGCAGTGTAAATAGCACAAGATGTAACAACTTGTTGGTAGTGAAAATGCACATTAGGAGTGTAAATGTTTTGGCCAATGCACCATGGAGCAGCAGATATTATTATTTACCAATTGAGCAAATCATATATCACATCTTAACTGTTGGCTGCATGGAGAGTAGGGTGTTTTGCAGGGAAATGGAAGGTGGTAATTAGATTTAACCCCTTTAAGCACAATGATTTATAATAATTGTACAGTGGGTATTCTCAACTTTTGTTAGTATAAGTTGATGTTGAGACTTTTTTTTTAAGTTCAAAGTGCAGTAGAATAATGAGTTTCACCATGTTTTGTCACTGCCTTAAGTTTGTAGAAATTTTAATTGAAAAAAAATGTGCAAACCATAATTAATAATGAGATAAGGACAATTGAAAAAAATCACCACATAACCCGTGTATTCAGAAAAGCTGACTTCTAAACCCTCATTGATTTCTGCAGAGCTTTGGCAAATATAGGAATAATAATGAAATAGGATGTTGTCAAAAAAGGGTTAATTGTGAATTGGAAAAAAATAGCCCATACTGATTGGACTGCCATATTACAATTCACAGATTTTACCGAGCCTTTACCTTTTACATAACCATTCTTCCTTAAGGTTTGTGTTGCTGGATGATGAATTTATTTAGGTTTTCCTATGAAAAACCCATAGTAGAGGCATGGGTTGTTTAATATTCAACTTAAAGCATTTATATTTCATAGGTGCCTCCAAATCAGCTGCTGATCCAACCATCTTACTAAAAAGAACTATCTAAATACCCTAGATTTGAAATGAATTTGCGAGAATCATGTGTGGAAACAGATCATTTTTGTTGTCTACATTTCAGATCATGATAATTTATCGTAAATTGACTCAAGGTTACATCTGTGCAGAATCAAATGTTCAAAATGTAGACTTTTGAGAGATTTGTGGTCAGAGTTCTAAAAGCAGAACAGTCTGTAAAAGCATTCCCCTTGTTTCTATGGTGATAACTTCAATCTTAAAACACTGACCCATATTTGCTTTTATAAATAACCTACATTGTGTTTTTATTAATTCATCAATAAAATTATTATTCTGCGCCATCATCAACAAATCGATCACCGCCTCTTTTTGTGAGCTTTTTAAGCCTGCATGAGTTTGACATTGTAGCAACATAAACAACCTTTGCATGTAGATGTATTACCATCATTTCTCAATATCCGCTGTGTATCAATACCCTTTCCACTCATTGAACACCTTGACTGCACTGATCTCACATCTGAGATGGCTAGGTCCTGATGGATGGCTGTCAGGCATGAAAAGGAAATTTCGAATATATATCCACAACAGGGGACTGGCTAGAAGCTGATGCTGTCTGTTTAATCTCATGAATTGGGCTGCTATCCTGCACAATGTGTCATTGAAAACCATGTACAGTGGGAGACCTGGCAGCCTCAATAAAATATTACAAGTGAAGTTGGAACTTAAAGAAAGAGCATGTCTTTGAAGAATCTTTATGGTAATGCTCATTCTCCCTGCGTACTCCGTCTTTCGATGTGAGCTGGTTGGATAAACTAGCAGTTCGAGATTTCCAGAACTCTGTCCACACTTAACTGTGCCAACACAGCAAAGAAAAATAAAATAGTCCTGTGCAGCATTAATCTATTTGCATCTGAGAGATAGATGTTATCTTTTTCATGTGTTTCTTTTAGCTTCTTAAATTTTTTTGGAACATCTAGAGCAGGGGTGTCCAAAGGTAGATACCCAGGTTTTGTAGAATTACAACTCCCATGCTGCATCCTGGAAGCTGTAGTTTTAAAACATCTAGGAATTTACATTTTGGTCACATCTGATCGAGACACATTCCATGTGTCACTGTTAGGCAGAAATTACATATTCACACTTTATAAACAAACTATTATACCTTTCTTAGCTAAACATATTTCAATTTTAAAGGGACACTTTAGTGTAACGCTATAACCCAACACGCATAAGGTAAATCCACCAGAAGAAACAGAGACAGATAAAAGGTCCTTAAACCGGTCCTTAGAATGGCCGGATAATAGAATATAAATTAAAGGAACGTCAGAACAAGACAAGTTCAAGGGAAACCAGAAATACAAAATACGAGAAATAAAGCCAAGTCAGGGGAGACAGGAAACAGTTGAGAGCAAGCTGGGTCAGTATCAAAATTGTACAAAACAGACAAAAATATACACTATTAGGACACTTGTGACACTTGGAAACACAACCAGGCACTGTGACGTGGGCAAATTTAATTTTATTATGTTTGGGGGCGCGGTTATTATAATCACGCACCCAAAAGGTGCGAGTGTGCTGAGCTCTATTGTTTAGACCTCCTCTGATGTCATGACGCTGGCACGCGTGTGCTGCCTCATAAAAATAGGCAGGTGCATAACGGACAGCGGCCATGAGGCTGACCGGAGCCTCATGCTGCGTGGGAGCGGCGGCCAGCCAAATCGGAGTTTTACGCAAGGGTAAGTATATAAATATTTTTTCCCAAAGATTCTGGTGCTGGATACCACAGTGGTTCTAGCATAAGAGATCAAGCAGGGACGTTTTCCTATAAACAAATTAAATACTTTAATACCTGTATATAATAAGGGGTAAAGGAAATAATATAAAAAATTGTAAGTGGAGGCTTTTATGTTCCTTCTGCAATCAGTTGTTAGCACAATGAGTTGCATGGGTAATTATTAGCAAATAATATGCTATTAGCAGCCCAAATTAATTTGCACCATTGAAGAAACCAGTAATTAGCTTCCTATTTAGTAGCTATTAGGTGGTGTTAATTGGGTACTACTGTCTGCAGATCAGCAGGTTTTGTGCAAACAGCTGTAAAATCTATGTGTACAACTTAATGTGACCTTGAAAACCATAGGAAACAAAATATACTTTCACAGAGAGCAAAATACCCAATATTTGATTGAATTAATATAGATATATAGATAGATACATACATGCACACATACAATTTTATACTACACTGATAAATCCATGCATAGTTGTGTAATCGGGATAACTGAACCATATACTACAAAAACGAAATTACGAATAAAATGACAAGGTACTTCAGTAAAGTCTGAGCTATTATGAATTCAAAGTGGATTTCAAAGGTTATGTCAAAGTAAAGGAAACAAATTGAAATCAAAATCTTTGTTATTCACTAAAGTGAGATTACCCAGAATTAAAACTGAATTTCAAATAAAAAACAGCATTGATTTGGATAATTTTTTATTAATTTAGCTATAAGTTTTGAAATTCACTATGCGTTCATATTGAATTCACATCAATTTTCACTTTATTGAATAATCCTGCTTAGAATATGCGGTGATCCAGACAGTCAGCAGGTACAAGCGGTACCCATGATAATATGAAAAAAATGACATTTTAAAGGACATATATATCTTAACAAAACCATTATGGGTAATATCTGTCTGAGCATCCATAGACTGACAAATATGCAATGGTGTGTAACTACGATGTTCTATCTCAGAGAAGAAAACATTGCTCTGAAACTAAATGTTAACTAAATTGAAACTTTGTATGGCCCAATTCTTTGCAAATTAACAGCTGTTATTCAAACTGTTAGAATCTTGAATCTTGATATGTGTGTATGCAAGGATATAACCCCAATACTGACCAAAAGCATGGACAGAAGGATAGAGGGAGAGGGGAATAAACTAGATGAAAGCATCTGCTTGTAATAAAGTAATGCAAATCTACAAGCTAATTATCATTAGTCGTATCAGCTGACACAGTGCCCAATCAGTTGTACACTAGAGAGACTCAGCTGAAGAAGCTTAGGGACTGGTCAAAGTGAGACTGACTTGGTCAATGAGAGCTAATTTATGGTCAATATGTTGTTTAGGCTGATGGAAGAAAATGCTTTGCTTTTGGGATGTTGCAGTGACAAGTTCATATTATTAGTTCAAGATACTAATTTCATCTGTTATTTTACATCTGCATCACTGGACTAATATGGCTATAATTGGAGCCCTGTTAGTGCACCCGGTTTGGGAATTGGAGTTTGAGTGCAAGGTATAGTTACTTTTTGTATAAATATATACATATATATATATATATATATATATATATATCCAAAAAGGTTATGGTGGGGAAAAATTGTGATTGAAAACCCCTTCCACCTGAAGTCTGTGGATAGTTAATACAATGTTAAACAAAAGCTGCACACCAGTCAAGCCATAAGACTTGCTTTTCCCACAGAAATCCCAAATCTGCAGTGATGTTACAACCGCAAAGGATTCTGGGTGGGCATATGCAAATTAGTTTAACAAAGAATCACATTTTTGCCTCATTCCATTTTAAACATGGATTCCTTTTAATATGTGTTTGCAGTATACAACTGCTTGGAACACAATTTAGGAAAAGATG